GTGCTCAGTCAAAAGGTCACCACTTTTGGTGGTCGTGTGTGCTTAATGCATGATATAATTAAAGAAAATAAGAGTAGACAATCTCCTATAACAAAAGAATATATTAAGTACTAAATTACAATTTAAATTACATTGCAGAGATCAACACAGAGCTCGGAACACAGTTCATGCTACCTTCGCGTACAGTTGTGTGACGAGAAGTCTGAGTGAGTAAAGATGTCGCTTTGCTGCTCCGATTAAGAACTGGATTTTACACGTGGCGCCATCTCATGAATAGACGTTGAAGTATCTGTCAGAACGCCACATATTTTAACGCAATGTCCATTACTAGCAAGGCACTTGTGCCATCCTTAAAGCAAACTCTCAAATTCTCTTTGGAAAAGTTCAGGTGAGCACTGTTTTATCATTGCTTTACAAGCACCTTATTTATGTCAGCAAATCGTTGTCTCAATTAGACCAAAGAGTTGGTTGGTTGGTTAGAATAATAACTGGCACAAAACCAAAAATGATTATATTAGAAGAAGTTATATCAAGTCTATTTAGTTAAAACTACATACTTAAAAATCAATGAACTGATGAATACAAAAGTATGGCAAGAAGAATATATGAATAAAATTGAGTGAATGAATACACATATAAAATGAGATAAAATAACACAATCACGATATTTCCGAAAAAGTAAGTGTCTGAAGACGCAAAATCCAGAATGGATAAAGCCCAATTTGCTATCATGAAAGTTGTCATCAAAAACAGGTAAGTATATACATTACCATGATAAATACATATCAAATTCAGATTCTTATTTGGTCTTTTTTTTTTTTTTTTATGGTTCTTGACACTTTTGGAACACACAGTGACCAGCATATGAAATACATCACATGCATATCATACTGTGAACACCATGTGAAATACATCACATGTATGTCATACTGTGACCAGCATGTGAAATATATCACATGCTGATAACAGTATGATATGCTCAAATATCAAACAGAATGAAGCCCTTGTCATCCTCAGAAATGAATTATGAACAGTATTCAATACTCAGTGCAATTGAATGTCCTTTTCTCAATTATATCTGCTATTAATCATCTAAATATCCACTTTGTACATACTTCATTATAGCCTAACTCACCATCTTTCATGTTGCATTGTCATCAAAACCCACTTATTCAGAAAGCTCAAAGATCATGTACTCGAACTCATTTGGTATATTGAAGGTTTCTTACTGTATGGTTTATCTTTACTGCTAGTTTTCCTTTTTGAAATGGTTGAAAATAGCTATTATGTATACACAGTGGACCATCCATAGTGTTCCATTAAGATACTTCCTTCATCCATCTATGTATACTACTATTGTTGATAAAGTTGAAGCTATTGGATACAGCCACTTTAACACTCCATTGGGTGCATTTGATCTACTAGGCACAAATCGAGCACTTTTGTTTTAACTATCTCCTTCAAACATTGTCATTCTTTCTCCATTCAGTTAGTTTCCCCTCTCTTTTAGCGCCACTGGCAGTTGTAAAGGTCAGTTGGTAAATATATTTCTTCATTTCCAGTTGCTGATGAAACGATCTAACAGGCTCATTACACCCAATTATGTTGCAATACGACAAGTAAGTTTTCTGTGATTTTGTTAATACTGTATCACATTTTTTGGTCAGAAATTTCATATAATAAAATATTTTATGATTATCTACAAAACTAAGTGTGTTTTCTGACTCTTGCTTCTCAAGCACATTGAGCCTGATCACGTCATGAATTGCAAAATGTTTTAGTAACTTAAAATACTGCTCATTACAAAATCTGACAAATACATTTTCATAACAACATTATAAATATTTATTTGATTCAACCTTCAAAAGAAATTTGATTTGAGAAACCTTCAAGACCTTGAAGAAATTCACTGTTTATTGGAGGCATCCGATGAAGACTACGATGATGTCAAAGATGAAGATTTTGATGTCGAAAACTATATTGATTCAGGAGATGGTGAAGAGGAATGTGAAGAGAGATCAGAGACAGAATAAGAGGGAAGCGAAGATGACAACATTGAAAAAATACTGACTTTTATTTAGGACAAAGGCAGACCACACCACTGAAGTAATTTTGGCTTCAGCTGTGATGGTAATATTTTGGTGTCCTACATTCCAAGGAAAAACAAAAAAGTCCTTCTTGTATCATAATTGCATGATAATCAAGCTATTGATCTTTCTACTGCAAAAAAGAGAAACCAGAAATAATCAGTTTCTACAATGAAAGCAAGTTAGGGGTAGATGCTGTAGATAAAATGTGTGGATCATATGATGTGTCTCAGAATGTAAAACAGTGGTCCATGATAATCTTTTTTATAATGTTAAACATTGCTTCAATCAGTTCTCAGATCATACATGTAGGTAATGGGTTCACAGCTCTTAAAAGAAGGTTGCTCATAAAACAACTGCTAATGAACTTGTGTTTGGACAACTTGCTCAATGAAGTCTGAAGCCTATTGGGTTGCCAGTACACTTACAACAAAAATTAAAGAGATATGCTGCCAACCAAGAACAACCTCACAATTACGATGAGCCACAGATACTTATAAAAAGACAAACATGTGAAAGATGTTATTTGGAGACTCATAAGAGAATATTAAGCTAATATGACTGCAAAAAGTGTCACAAAACAACTTGCCTCTCATATGCTGTTTACACGTGTCTACCATGTTATAAGAGAGAAGCAGAAGGACAGATATCTGCTAATGAATCAGATGAACAAGAGATTATACTTATGTTCTATTTTAATTAAATTTAAATCTATAATTAGTCTTGTACAACAACTATATGAAAGTTATTTTGCAAATTGTTTTAATATAAATAGTTTCCTTTTAAGACTATAAAAATTGTTTTATCGTACCTTAAGTATTTTTATAACTTGTGAAAGTTTAATAATAATGCATATTGATTTTTGTAAGAGAAAACTTTTTATACATAAAAAAGTTTAGTAAATCAAGAAGTGCCTCTCAGGCTCAATGTGTGTGAACATGTTCCGAAACATACCGCACCCGACAAAGTGTTTATAATATGTTGGGTAATAAGTTAGGCTGACTTTTACATTACTTTCAAAATGATACTCATACACAAGAAATTAGACAGAAAATCTAGCAGAGAGCAAAGGCAAACTGCATTATCTTTATTAACTACACAATCTCCGCACCAAAAATTCCAGGACTGATATAATAATAAATCAGAAAATTTATATGTGTGTTCCTAGAAACAGTAGATAATGTCTTAAATCATTTTTTTTTCTGTCTGAATAAAACAGCAGCACAGATGTACCACATGTTAAAAGAAGCTGAACTTAACATTACCTTGCATGCTAATTTACAAGAGCATATTATTTCTATGACAACCAGGAGCCACAAAACCTTCAGAATGCTGATTGAAATGGCTTTTCATAGACAGCTTGTATAGTGCAAAAAAACTGACAATTATTTACATTTGGATCACTCAATTATTTTTGAAAGATGGGTGAGTAAGTCAACCCATTATGACATTCTTTATATTACAACAAAAGAGTCATTCATAAAAGCATTTGGATTTGCTGCAAAATGAAATAAAGGTTCTGATTTCTATAAAAACAGTTACTAATAAGAATGGAACAGACTGCCCGCAGTATTATGATCCATTAACAAGATAAAGTGCTAGATGGAAAGGCAGCCAGTTACTACTATTCATGAAAGCCTGCATGCAGCTATCACACATAAAAATGATGTTCAATTTTTTTTTTTTTTTTTGATTAGAAAGGAGATGGATTATCTGTAAAGGAACTTGTATCAGTGGATGAAGCTATATACTGTTCAATTCAGTAATTATTATGATATTTACAATATGGTATTTGCTGTAATCATGATAATGGTCATGCATATGCCTTTGTTACTTCAATATTTCCCTTACACCATAAGATAACTGCATTTCCCTTTTTTCCAGAGTCCCAAAACCAATCTCCGAGTTACTATTTCCTGTTCTCCAAGATAAAATGAGTGACAAAAGTATAGCACTGTGCAGACTTTCCAGCTATTTAAGCAGTTATGAAAAAGCAATCCAAAGACATACCAATATAATGCTTTCTAGAACTGCATACTTATTTGTATTTTGGAAACTGCATACTGATTTTCAAGGCAATTATTTTGAAAGAAAAGTCAAAATTATACATATGTTTTATATTATTTCAGGCAGCAGCATAGTGTTTTTCCAACTCATTTTGCATTAATGGTACAAAGGCTAACAAAACTACATGCAAAATATTTATTAAGAAAATGATGATGTTTTTGAAATGGCCTTTTAAAAGAAATATCATTTTGCCTCGTTTGCTTTGCGTTGATACAATTTGGAAGATAATCATATTCTGAAGGCACTAGGTACAACTTCACCCCTTGCATTATTAGCATAATACTGCACTGAATTTAAGCCACAATTTTATTTAAATTTTTAAGATGTAAAATCAAAACTTATCTTGAATTTAAAGTTATTTTTTTTAATTCCTCCAATTTTTTTTTTAAATTTTAAAATTTTACTTCTGGTTTAAAATAAAAGTAATGTGGTACATATCACAAGAAACTATCTTCAACTATCATCAATCATACTAAATTTATAAATATTTTGCCTTCTGGTATTTTTAATCATTTAGTGAACTGAAATTTCCTGACAAAAAATCTAGAAATTAAAGTTTATCCAACAATCTTCTTGCTAACAAAAACTACTAAAACATTATTCTCCAATTTGCACTGAACCTTTAGTGACTCATTTTGTTATGCTCAAAAATAAAACTTTATTATTTATCAGATAAATAAAAGATCTTATACCACAGCCATCAGTGATTCTATTTTGCCAAATTACAGTTTTCCTCATAAAATGAAGAATATTTGCTTTCAGTGTGATTAAAAGCTATACATGCAACATGGGATAGAGTAAAATACAAACAAAATGTAAAATAAATAAATTTTATAAGATATTAACTTTTGATTTCATATCTACTTCTGAAAGAACTTTCCACAATATTTCATCTTCAAATTCATTCAAAGGATCAAGGTTGTACCTGAAATAGATTTTTGTATTTCTAGATTATACTATATCAACCAGAAGTGTACATAATCATTTACAATAATTATAAAAATATAATTTATTTTATTAGAACTATTTTAAGACAATGCAAATACATATTTCATTTTAAAAGAGGAACTGGCTCATAATCTCCTTACACATAAGAAAAATTATAACAACTTCATTATGTCTGGGCTCGTTAACAACCTCATTAAGTCTGGGTTCGTTTTTCTGGAACCAAACTTTGGTGGGCTTCTAGATTTCAGGAACTTCAAATACTGAGTAACTATTGAGTTACAAGGAAGAAATTATATTAAAATCGTCACTTAAATGAAAGTTTTCATATGACACGAAGAAAAGGTATGATATTCTGAAGTATCGAAAATATCGAGTTAGTGAAAGTACTCAATGAACCAAGATAAACAAAAATGTCATATTTTCAATGTCATATTCTCAAGAAAATATTGACCAAAAGAAACTGAAGTTCTAATCTTATTCTATCTTTATATTCTATAATTACTATTTTCATATATTCCTCACTTGCCTTTTTAATCAAATAAATATAGTTATTATTACAAAAGTACTAGTGAATATTGATTCTATATTTTAACTAATGTTTTAGCAGAATTAGTTAAAACAATTATCTTTCTATTTATAGTTCTTTCAGTTGATTAACAGAACTTGAAAAAAGGAAAGAACACAATTAGTGTTTAACTAATCAAGATGATTTACTAATGCGTTTTAACTTAAATGATTATGATAAAATAATGCTTTATGTACAGTTTATTACTCATAATTAAAAATTGACACTTTTCATTCCATATAAAATAGTATTCTTCTCAATCAACACTAATTGGTACAATGTAATTTTAACTCTTAAAAGTCTTGAATTAAGTACAGTCAAAAGTCGTTAATTCGGACACCCATAATCCGGACCTCAAAGCTACAAACTTTCTGCGCATGAGTCGCATTGTAAGACTTTTACGGCTGCGAATATGCGTGTGCACATGCGTGTTTAATGTATAACGGATGGTATAAGCTAAGGTAAAATTATCTAATTCAGTTAATGTTGCAGATTGCATTGTTCCTTAATCTTCGAATTGGATCCGGCTTATTATTTTTTGCAGACTGTTAGAGCAATTTTATAAAAGTAAGCTTGAACTTTCGATTATGTCAAATAAAATTTCCGATATATATTTACTAATATATAAAGGATCTACAAAGCGAAAGTATGTTTCGAAGTCCATTCAATAAAAGTGGAATTGCTGCAAAAAATGACCTAACCGTTCTGAAATTTGTTTATCAATTTTACACTGCTCTGCTGTGTGTGTGTGTGAGGGGGAAATGCCACGCGCAATGAATTGGAAGTTGATCTGTCAGCACTATCCTTATCTTCAAAACAGATGTTTTTATTTTATTTGGCTTATAATTCCTTACTAAATGTAGTATTTCATCTCGATGTACTCCGTCTTTGATATGATTTAAATCAAATTCCTCGTCATTATAATTCGCTTCCGATAGTGAAGAAAGTGACAGAGAGGTTATTGAAAACGAAAAAATTTCGATTGACAAATTAGTCGGTATTCTCGACACAGCAATTATAGGACTTGAACAGTGGAACTTTGTAACTGAACAAGAAATTATGTCTGTTTATAGAATTAAAGAGAAAGTATTATCACATAAAACGAAGCAACTTAAACAACTTACATTGAAAGAAATGTTTAATAAAGTAAACAAATAAATATTAAGCTTTCTTTTTTTTTTTGTAAATTTTGATACCCTTTAGATCATAATTGTTCTTTATTTCATAAATTACGGTTTCATATTTTTAATTTTATAATTTCTGCATGCCATCTTACCAGATTTAAACTGATGATCTATAATCCAGAAAAATCGATAATCCGGAATCGCCAAAGTTCCGACGAGTCCGGATTAACGACTTTTGACTGTATAATGAAGAAAGAAGGCATGGGAGACTGTTAAAGTTAAACTCCTACAAATTGGTGAGCGGCGTGTACCAGCGGGCTGCGGACTTGGATTTTTCTCGGATTTCAGCTGATGAGGATTTTGCTCGAGTTGAGACAAAGTGCTCTATGCAAAATATAGCTTCACTGCTTCTCCATTATATTTTCCCGAGAACTTTAATTAGACATTCTCGAGGTGATCATAATATCAGGTGTTTGTCCTGGATATCCCTACTTTTTCCTGACCAGTATTTTTCCAGATTGGTCCTTACCAAGGCGTTCCTGATAAAGAATGTTCCTAAGTACTACTTTAGCGCATGATTATTAGTGAATATACCTGACACTTGTAAGTTCTGGATCGATGTGAGTTATTACTATCCGGCTCTTGTGGTTCCTGACACATAAACATTTCACACAGAAATATGTTCTTGAAGAACGCATTTTTTTCTGATCGGGCGGTTAAGTTTACAGAAGAAATTAACCCCTTTTCCAGAAATTCTTGTGCAGAATGGAATTCAACGCATGAATGTTAGCTTATTAACTGTAATCAAAGTGTTGGCTCAAGGAAATAGACATCCTCCTCGAGAAAAATTGGACACTTCTCTCAAGGTTATATATTCCGGAAAATCTGTGAGTGATTTTAAAATTTGTCTACCTCTCTATCTTTTCAAATTACTTAGAAGAAAAACATTTGTTTTATATATGTAAATTACTAAGTGATTAGAATATTTTGAATAATGACCAGTTAATTTAAAGCCTGCAAATGAAAGTTTAAAGATTTGTTTAGCAGCTTAATTAGTGAGCTATTGAATATCAAAAATAGTAAACTTATAAATTAATATGAGTATGTTAATTTTAGAATGAGATAGGTGTTATTTTTATCCCAATGTTTATTAGTTATTGTAAGCTGTAATTTGGTGTGGTACTATGTGATATTTTGCATAGTATTATTATGGTAGGGAACAGATCAGTTTAACCAGTTAACTTATGTTAGAATTATTCAACAAAATAAATGTGTTTGTCTTATAATTTTATTGCATTTATTTATCTTGTGTATTTATTTATTTATTTTTGGTGGTCAGTCAAGTTCCTCCATTTGTTTGAGCTGGGAGGCTTTTTAAGGAACATGGAGCTTTTATTGAATTTCGATTATAGTTTTTCCCTAGTGGGCTTCACAACGTGCCCTTTTGTACTAACCCATATTTGATATGATTTTGTACTAACCCTATATGATATGACTTATGATGAATGTGATTTTTTAGTTAGTTTTGTTCGGCACCATGTGTTGAGTTGAGTCAAAGTTAAAAGTCATAAAAGTTTAAAATCCCTTATTTTCAGCTACGATTGTTTTTATGATTTATTTTATTTCGAGTTTTCAAATTTTTATTTTGAGTTTATTTTGAGCGTCAGATAAAAGTCATAAAAGTAACACCCTGTAATTTTCAGCTATTTAAGAGGAAATAAATTAAGCGTTGCTCTCCTGGAAGGACTCATTAACACGAACATCCCCACAATTCTAGGAGGAGAATTAAATGTCAAGTATTGTGACTGTGGGTGCCAGAACTCAAACTGCAATGGAACTATTGTGCATGATTCTGTGAGCAACTATCTTTCTGTTATATTTAACTTTTATAGTACATCATGTACATCAATAAGTTTACCTTCTAAGTTTAATAATGCTCTTGAAGTTCATTTCATGGAATAATCTTTCATAAGTAAACAACACATGGAGTGCAGCTTAAATGTTTGGTTTAGTTTGTTTGATTACAGCAAAGCATCAAGTAGCTATCTGGTTAAAGGAATTTACACCTTCATGGAAGACTACACATAAAACAGCAGGGGGTCGCCAAAAATTTTAACAGTTTTGATATTTCTTTAACTTATTATAATAATTTTACAATTACCAAATATTTTTATACTGTGTATCTGAAAATAGATAAAGATAAGACATTACAGACAAAGAAAAAAAAAAAAACATTTCAATGCATTCTTTTTATAATATAAACGTTCATTTTCCTTGCTTTGCCTGTGACGCTCTCATTTTGTCTGTTACTTATTTAACATTTTCACATTGTTCTTTGTCTTAAAATTAGAAATTAAAGTTAATAACCTAAAAGTGCAATAGTATATTACAATACAAGTGAAAAAATGGACAGTTTCACTCATGCATGTGTCGGATTTGTGCAATAGTTATAGGGCCCCACAAAATTTTTGTAAATATTATGGGGTCCTGCGAGTGGCGAAAAAAAATCTCAGTGATAAAAAGGGGTTGCGACTGAAAAACGTTTAAGAAACCCCGGTCTAAACTACATAAGATTAGGACTGCAGAAGATTGGAAAGAAGTCATTTGATTTGAGGAGTTCTGCTTCTGCCTTGACAATTGTTGACTGACATTAAAACAAAACAAAAATGAAGCCTTTAAATGAAGATTAAGTGCAAAATTTGGTAAATAGCAAAGTTGGGTCATTGATTTCCTAGAATATTTCATATGCTCTGAATTAGGCCCCCTAATTGTACTTAATATGCATTAGAACCACCAAATTTTTTGATGAACAGGTACTTCTCTCCCCCCTTTCAGAATCCTGCTGATAATTTAAGTGAGAACAAACCTATTTTTCTCAGTGACAACTGTCACTTACAGGTTTCATGAACAATCCAAACAGCTCCAATTAAACTTACTCTCTCTGGCCAGCAACATCCCTGAATTTAATGAAATTTATAAAACACCTAGAAAAACAAGTCAATAACAGTCAAAGACCCCAAATATTTAAAAGGACTAGTTTGATGCTAGAAAGAATAATAAACAATATCCACATATTTGCAGCATTTATGTCAAGAAAAATGCTGCTGTCATTTATGCTAACAAAGAGATAAATAGTAATTCTCATTTACTAGAGAAGTTTTTTGTCTGAGGAGCATATTCATGAGTTGCATTTCTACACAGCTTTAATAATATATGTAGATTATTTGTTATCAATATCAAAGACTCAACTATTATCTTTTACTGTTCAAGTTTAAACAAAATTACAAAAGCTATTACATGTTTAAATTAAACTCTTGTTGCTGAAGAATTTTATCAACTTTGGATTCAAATTTAATTCACTTTTAAAAATATGCAAGTTTTGAAGGAAGTGCATCAATAAAAATTAACAACTTCTACTAACAAATGCAGTAAATGTCATTTATATGACAGATAAATAGTTTTTAAATGAAAGCAATATTACCTAACAGTTCCTTGAAACAGAATTGGATCCTGAGGTATGGCAGACATTCTTGAACGTAAATCCTCCAATCCTAATTCATCAATATTGATTCCATCAATAACAATGCTACCTGATGTTAATTCTACTACTCTAAATAAGGCAGCTCCTAATGAAGATTTCCCTAGATTGAACACATATTATTAATCAACAAGCATAATAATCACAGCAAATTTATAATTCTGGTTAGGTTAATTTGATTAAATCAGTGCACATGTCAATCATCTGCTCAAAGAAAGGAAATGCTTTTGTACAGCACTTTTGACAGAAATTGGCTTGCATTATATTTAAGGAAAACCAATGCAGTCAGACGGTTTATGAAATTTTGGTCTGAGTTGAACTAACAGCATTCAACAGCCTTATCCTCTTAGCCATTGATTAATTAATTTTCTTTGAAGAGTGGAATACTAATTCACATGCACTTTAATAAATATGACTTCATTTCCTAGCAAGACAAAAAGTTTTGGCTTAGACATTATTTTTTTTTTTTTTTTTTTTTTTTTCACTACACATAATCAAATCGCTTTAAGCTTCATATTTTCTTTATTTAATTGAAAGCTAAAGACGGAGATGCATAAATGCATATTTACAGGAAACTTTAAAACTTGTGACGTAATTTCTTTTTTCTATTCCTTCTATCTTAATTGAAGTTATTTGCATGGCTGTGTATAGCAAAACTTGTCTATAAAAAGTACACTCTAAAATAATTTAATTACTACAATATGAGACTTCATACAGTGAATTTTCCATGTTACTCCCAGAAAACAATATCTAATAATATGTGTTATTTTTTATTGAAAACTGAAATGTCAATAACAAATTCAGAGCTTAGCAAAGTAACATTTTTGCTCATCACAAATTATGATTGGAAAAAATAACCTTGCATAACAACAAGCACAGTAAAACATCACATAATTGGTAAAGTAGTACAAATTTTGAATTATGCATTAATTTTCCCTACTGGACTCTTCAGTTTGGACAATGGAGTGAAAGGAGGCTGAATGATAAGCAACTGGTTATTTTTACTTTTCTTTTTTAATAGAAATGATCTCAATTAGTTAGGAGACAGGGCAATACTGATTTTGTACTGATTTAAGTGCTAATTAAGTTTGCAATGAGTGTTTTAAAAGATGTAAGTGACCAATGTGAGGAAAAAGAAAAAGTTAAACAAACTCTCAAATGACCGAAAAAATTTCTGAATTTTTGAATGGCAATCCTCTGAAAAGAAAATAACTCCATTCAATATTTTTTGACAATAATAAAAAACAAAAATTCCAACGTATGTGAGCAAATTTCCAAACATATAAATGATCTTGAAAATGGAACCTTTTTTGGGCAAACAGGAATTCAGAAATAACAGCCGCTGTTCCCTATCAACAGCAGTGCTATATTTCATAGACACATAGCCCTGCTGATCTTCCTACTAGAGCGATTGATCATAAACTCCTACCGAATGTATCCCTTTGGTGGCATGGGCCATCATTCTTAGTGCTAGACAGCTCAAAGTGGCCGCTGCAATGTTCTATCAGCTATGAGACCAGTACAGTTGCATCTGTGCTGGTCTCATTGCTGATAAAATGGCCACTTTGAGCTGTCTAGCACTAAGAATGATGGACAAAATCAATTTTTTGTACAACAGCTTATTCGACTAATGACATTCTGGATAATTTATTTCAGAACCCTTCTTCTTTATCTAAAATAGCTAATGTAATTCCGTTTTGCTTAAGATTTATTTCTAGGTGCAAAGAATGGGTCTTTGGTTCTGAAGATAATAGATTAAAAAATCCTGCAGTAGTACCTTTATTTAATGAAAGGCAAGGTGCAATGAAGTTGATCATTAAGTGAATCCAGCTTGTGCACTTCCATAATGATATAAATAGTCTAAAAATAATTCATCTTTAAGTCCTAAAAAGTGTCTTAAGCTCACTTTCTCCTTTTCTAGATGATGATGGCATTTTACAGGTGGGAGATCATCTGCAAAATTCTGACTTAGCATTCAATGTCAAACATCCTATAATTATCACGTGTCAACACAGGATTGCCTTATTACTTGTTAAACAATATCATGTAACTTATATGCAAGCAACGCTCAGTTTACTAGCTAATATTTTAAAGCAGAACTATTGGGTTGTAAATGGTAAGAAATTGTCTATTATCCATAAATGTATTGTTTATCACAAATATAAATTATCATCTAATGACCAATTAATGGGGAACTTGCCAAAGATAACACTTGAGAGACCCTTTTTAGCACAGATATTGATTATGCTGGTCCTGTAATTTTGAAATGTTAGAAAGGTCACTGCTTTAAGAACACAAAAGGTTGTATAGCTTTGTTTGTATGTCTAGCTACCAAAGCTTACCATATTGAGCCAGTTAGAGACTTAACTGCAGATTTTTTCATTGTTGCTCTTAAGCGATTTGTACCAAGGCATGGTACACCACCGTACTTGTGTTCGGATAATGGCATAAACTTTGCAACAGCAAAAAGAAAATTGTCTGAATTGCATACTCTACAACTTTCACTTAACAGCAATGAATTGATTTTAAACTACTTGGTTCAAAATACTATGGAATGGAAAATGGATCCCCTGGCTTCTCCCTACTTTGGTGGTTCGTGGAAATCTGGGTTTAAGTTCATGAAATTTCATTTGAAAGGAATGACAGGAGAGACAAAGTTAACATTTGAGGAATTAATTACTCTACTAACTCTAATTGAAGCTGTGTTAAATCCCAAAAGAAGATTTCTCTAACGTTAAACCCACTTTATTAAAATGATGGGTATTATTACAGTGAATGAATCAAAGCTTTTGGAAAAAATATTATAAGGAGTATTAAAACTCCTTGCAACAAAGACATAAATGGAAGAAACAACTTCCAAATTTGTCTGTAGGTGATCTTGTAGTAATCAAGGAGGACAACATGCTCCTGGTGTTTGGCCATTAAAGCGCATTGCTGAAATCCATCATGGAAAAGATAGCACTATTAGAGTTGTTACAGTAAGAACTTATCAATGGACATTTTAAAAGATCTATAGTAAAACTTTTACCATTGCCACTGAATCGGAAATGATCTATTCTTAATATAGTGGCAGAGCTGGAAGTATGATTGGATATGTATTTAATATTTGCATTTCTTTCTTTTTCTTTGTTTTCTCCATTTTTAATTCTTTGTTATCATTAATATATGATAATTTTTTTAGTGGCAACATCTTTCGTTTTACTACTGAACAGTTTTCTTAGCCATGCTGTGCTGTCGGTATTTTTCTGTTAAATAATATTTCATGCTTTAGAATGTTAATAAAGTTTGTCTACAAAGCTGATTCTTCTTAGTCCAAGGTGAGTAACAATAGTTCTAAATGAAGAGGGAAAATAGGCTCTATGTTATGGTGACGACATGCATTGCCATAGCAGATCAGGGAAGGGTAAAAAGACATAGAAGTGCCTATTGCAAAGCAGTGTTCTGCAAAGACAGCAAATTTATCAAAAGTCATTTATTACTTTGACATACAAAGAGATTAAAAAGTCTGCATAATGAGTCAAATTTATTGTAACTGTTAAAAGTACTTAAAAAAAATGGGCTTGAGAACAGAAATACCATCATTTTGTTAATAAGCGCTTACTTAAAAAAAAAAAAAAAAAAAAAAAAAAAAAATCCCAGCTGTATTCACTGATTAAGAGATAATTCAAAGTTTGATACAGATAACAACTAGTCTGAAAATTTACGGCTGTTGTTGATGAAAACAAAACTTTCCTCATCATCAGTGCTTTTGTATAGAATGAGGGAGATTATCCTTGGAGCAACTACAGAGATGATGACCAAGAATGGCTTTTTGAATATACAACTTAAGCAAAGGAGCAACAAGAAAGAACAATAACACTGAGAAACAAGAAAGAACAATAACATTACTTAAAAGTTAAAAACCTTACTGCTGATTCGAAAAAAAAAAAAAAAAAAAAAAAAGAGAGAGAGAGAGAGAAAGAGAAGAAGAAAAGGGGGGAAAAATTAATGAAAATTAGATATCAGACATATTGTTGTATGAAAGTAAGTTAAAAACACTTAACAACACTCTGTTTTTAACTTTTATTACAAATTTCGAAAATTTTCGTATTTTAGGATCTTTTAAATCTAGTACGATACCATGTAGAAATTAGAAAATTAAAAATATGAAAGAGTTGTTTATGAAATAATGAAGGATTTATGGCCTTAGGGATCAAAATTTACAAAAAAAAAAAAAAAAAAAAAAAAAAAAAAAAAAGCAGCTTGATATTTATTTATTTGTTTAATTATACATTTCTTTCAATGCAAGTTGTATACGCTCTTTTGTTCTCTGTGCTAATAACTTTTTCTTTCGTTTATTAGGCATTTTCCCGCCTTCTCAGCATGCCTTCATAGCGTAATGGCCTGCAGGCTGGGCGCATATTTGAGAGATCCGTGGTTCAATTCCTGGCGAGGGCGCTGCTCTTTTTTCACTTCTCCTGCTTCTAAAAAATACCTAATGTCTCTACAGTGGCACCCAAACTAAAAGGGTGGTGGATGATGATTCTCCACACCCAGGATTTGGTGTTTGGGTCTCCTAAAAACCCTAGTCGCCCTTTAAAAAGGGGAGTATATAAGGTATTTCTCCCGACTTCTTAGCATGCCTTCATAGTATGATGGTCAGCACGCTGGGCGCGCATTTTAGAGGTCCACGTTTCAATTCCCGGCAAGGGCATTGCTCATTTTTCATCACTCCTACTTCCAAAATACCTAATGTCTCTACATGTTTTATAAACATACATACTTTCTTTCCCGTGTCGAGTATTCCCACTAAACTGTCAGTCAAGATCTTTTCATTCTCAAAAATTTTTCTTCCCTTTTGTTAGCGAGTTTCCAGATTTAAAAATCATTCTACAGATTTTGCAATCCATTAGTTGATTGCTGATTGGTGCATTATCATTGGAATGGAAAACTTCTGTTAAATAATTTTTTATATTTTTTTTATTTTTCCACATTTCTTCACAAAATCTTGCCTTCTATAGTGTTTAAAATCCACATCAGAATAATGTTGCTGTTTTGCCTGATTTTGAAATCACACTTTCTTAAACCTGAATTGACTTGGGCTATATTTTCTTTCACCAAGGCTGTTATAGAAGGTAAGTACCACATATTTTTTTGCTTTCCAAATCCTGCAAACACATCTAGAATTGAAAACTCTTTCTGATATAATGGAAAATTTAATATTGATGAGATTGTGTAATAAAAAATAATATGCTAAATTAATTTAATTAAGGAAGAGCACATTTTGTCATGCTAACTTAATTTATTCTGAATCTAATTTTTTCTGCCATCTTGCTATTATGCCAAAAAAAGAAGACCAGTATTAGTGACATTCTACTCCAAACAAATATGTTTTAGTCTTCAATCATTATTTGTATCATACAGGAAAATATTAACCTCTACTTGAAGAACTACTTAAGGCCAAAAGTATCATTGCAACTAATGGCAATTAATTTAATGTCAGTGATCGTACACCTGCTTGTGTATTATATTCATCTTTCTAGACTTTTAGGGGAGGGGAGAAACGCTGGTCTAGAGGCCTGGATATTGGATTATTCCAGACATCAGTATCTGTATTTTGGGCTTTGCACTATCCTTGTTACATATGGATTAGTATCAAGAAAATGTGGACACCAGTATAGCAAAACATAGCGTGTATAGAAGCTATCTATATCTTGACAACTATTTCAGCTTTTCTCTTGCCCATAGAATTAAAGATGAACAGGTTATATTTAATTGAATGCTCTTTTACAGAAAGTTCTAACTGGTAAGAAATGATAATTAACTCAAGAAAATTAATCACAGAAAAACAATTTAAAAAGCATACTCATGTGTAATAGTCATTTAGAAAATACATTGACATGATATTTTTCATTCAAGCAAAAAGAATTCTTACCAGAGCCTGTTTTGCCTACTATACCAATTTTTTCTTGAGGTTCAATGCTGAATGTTAAACCATTAAGAGCCAAAGGTAGACTAGGTCTGTAACGCATTTTTACATCATTAAAAGTAATTCGTCCTCGAGTGGGCCAGTCAGGGGAAGGTCTTGTTTTTTCGATTACAGGAGCAGCTTCCACATCAAGTTCTTCAGCATATGTCTGAATGCGTTCCACAGATGTGAATCTTGCTTCCAAATCACACCCATGTTTCACAATGACTTGGTATGTACTATTTAACTAAGAGAAAAGTATTTTAAAAATTAGCACCTAATTTACATTTTAAATATGCACATATGTAAATATAAAAGAAAATCTGATATTTTAATAGAAGAATCCCTTGCTCTCAACAAATACTAAAGAATTTTTATAATCATATTATAACATTTTTCTTTAGTATCTTGCATTATATCTTTTTTTTTTTTCCAATAATGACACTTCCAATTAAAATGTTAATGACAGCAATATTTTTCAAACTTAAAATACTTAATGTTTAAATGTTTGTTTTAAAATACTTAATGTTTAATATTTCTTTATTATTACTTTTCTAAAACATGCTTTCACATATTTTTTTATTTCCCACAGAGATTATTCATCATATCATAGATAATGTAATAATTATGAGTTATTACATTTGTTTAATGAAGATTAAACAATAATAATTCAGTAATTAAAAATTCATTATTTTATTCAGTTCACTCATAATGTTTCACTGCGGAGGAAATTTTGTCAGTGACTTTTAACCTACTTCCCGATAAGCTGTCGAGTTCAAATTTTGTACACACGCTATCTGTCAATGACAATGCAATCCAGTTGTGTCTTTTTTTTTTTTTTTTTCTTCCAAAATTTGGTTTAAATTTTTTAATTGAATGTTTAAACCACTTTTGACACATATCTTCAATTAATGAATGAACTAAGCAAAAAATAATTTTATTGTTTACATCATCAAATACAATGGAAAAAAATCATTTCAATTAAACATGTATGACAATTCTAATTTAGCTGCAAATTTTGATTTTCTGAAAAATTGCTCGATTTTTAGACTGTTTGACATTAATGGTTTCAAAATTTCAACATCTAAAAATATGTGTGAAGCAAAGTTTTGAAATTTTTACAGATTATAAAATAAACCTTTAACACTCTTTTAAAACAAGGATGATAAAAGAAATATTAGATGAGTGAATTTCTACTCTTTTTTTTTTTTTTTTTTGATGTGCTGCAGTTTGAAGCAGACAGGAGGAAAAAAAAAATTCTCATAGAAAAATTACTTTTGAATTTGCCACCTTGATGCAATTAACAACGAAGTTTGCCATCTTGATGCACTTTGACAAATTGGCAACATTTCTTCATTTTAGCTTCAAGTAAAATGCTTGTTATAATACTGTTATTACATCCAATTTTCAAAACCCAATATTCAAAACAACTTCTTCATTCTCTGAATGACATTAATTTTTCTTTATTTCATAATTTTCTTAAATTGCTTGTGACTTGATAATAACTAAAAATTTCATCATAGATAAAAACAGAACATATAACAGAACTAAAAAAAAAAGTTTTTAGAGAATAAGCTTTTATTTAAAAGGAATATGATAATTAATGCACAAAAAGGGAAAAAGTACTGAGAATGATAGATTAAATAATTCATCTGCAATATACAGAATTCATCTGCAATTTTATATCACAAATAATAAAAATATGAGATTTCTAAATAATGTCAACAGTCCATAAAAAATGCACTATCATACATTAATGTTAAAAAATCATTATTTTCTACTAAAGAATTTTTATAATATGATAAATGAAAAAAATATGTTCTTATAATTAAATTCGTTTATTACACCTAACTACAAAGAAATAACTACAAAAAAAAAAAAAAAAACTCTTCAAATACACAGGTAACTTATAGAAATTACAAAGATATTTTAACTGTTGAAATTCAGAGCTTATCGGTGAAATCGTTAGAATAAAGACAGTAACTGGAAAATTTCTAGAACACAACAGAAAAGTTATCTACAAAAAATATGTAAATACAATAGAACTTTAGCTGTTCAAAGTTACACTGTATTTACAGATGTTCCTCTTAGCATAGTTAATATTATTATTATTATTATTATTAAATGATATTTTAGCCCCATATGATGAATAGAAGAAAAAAAACATACAGTGGAACTTTAGATGTTCAAAGTTCCACTGTATTTACAGGTGCTCTACTGTATCCCCCCCTCCTTGTTCATCATCATGCATGGCTAAAATATCATATAATATCATCATGCAAAATATGGTAAATAATGGTTTATTTATAAAATCTGTGATCTAAAATAAGATAAATTAATAACCTTAATTCTCAACAAGAAAAGAAGCATGAAAAGGATTTTGATTTTTATATTCATAAACAGATCTACAAAACTAAAATTAGATTCAAAAAACAATCTTTTATTATATTATACCTCTAAGACACAAGGTATATTTCAAAATACTGATAAAATGAATCTTCATCACAACTTTTTTTTTTTTTTTTTTATAAATTCCAGCTAATGTCTAGAAACAAAATTTTTTATGCAGATTTTATGCAATAACTGCATAAAAAATGGGATTTTTTTTTAATGGAAGATCAAATTGTTCATTAGCAATTTTCGTTAAACTGAACATTGGCATTGCAAAGCTATGCATGTAACATGAGTCTTACTGGAAAACAGCTTTTCAATTGTTACAGACTAGAATTTAGTGTGACTGTGTATGCATTAGTGATGTAAGAAAGGCAGGATCATATGGTTGGTGACACAGAGTGCTAGTGCAATTTTTTTTTTTTTATGGAACCATTTCTAAGAAGGAAATAACATATGCAGCATAAAACTTAGAAATTACTTTTTCTAATTCACATTAACACTAGAAAGATAATATTTCCCCCCTTACTGAAAAATCTAAAGCTATTTTATGGGTTAAATTAAAATTAGGAATGCAATATATATATCATAAATAACAACTTTATATTTTAAATATAAAATTATGTTATACAATATTTGGGTACAATATTTTTATCAGCATATGGAACAATCAACTTGTAAGATCCAAAAAGAAAATTTAAAGAAATGAAAGAAATGCTGTAATGTTAATTATGTAATGTAAGTAATTTTATAACCTAAACTGAGTACATGAAAACATACTTATGAAATATCTTTAGAATCAGAAGAGGTAGCTGCATCTTTAGCAAAGGAATCAGCGTTTTTGTTTCCTACATTCTCTGCATATGTTTTCATTCAAACTTGTAAATTTTAATTTGACTATTTTTTTGAAACAGCTGAACAATTTCTTGCGCTGTCGGAGAATGACGTTTGAAGTTTGCTATTGCATGTACTGAAGAAAGAGAATCTTATTGAATTGCGAGCTGAGTGTGTTTATTATTAATTGGAATTTCTATTGCCTTTCTAATTGCTGAAATTTCCACCTGCAAAATTGTGTTCTCTGGTTATAGGCTTCTTTTCCAGGGTATTTTTAGATTTCTGGCTTTATGGAAAATACAAGCTGATCTCAATTTTTTCATCTATTTCTGACCCATCTGTAATTCCTTTGGGCATGCACTGATTAGTGGCTCTTTAAAATCAAATTTTATGTTAGGAGAATTTGCAGGGTGCAAAAAATACAACCAAGGTTGGGAATTCAAATTTTTTTGGACTTTCAGTTATTTATTATATAAATGCTTGATTCCTAGTATAACATCAAGCAATTTATTTTTATATCCCTCAATAAGTAATAATTTTTTTTACTTTGATTAGCATAACTTTATATGTTTGCCTCAACACTTAAAGAGGAAATGCTTCTTCAAAGGTAAATTAGCAAAACCAAAATTGGATGTGCACATTAATTTAACTACTTTAATTAATATGACAAAAATTAAAAGCTAACTAATACATAAAATGACAGAAATTAAATGGTATCAAATACATATTGTAATGGAAATTAAAAGATGTAGAGAAGAAAAATAGAAAACAAAATTGCTCTCAAAATGCACTTTTGTGTTTCACTCAAAATGTATGCTATGTAAAAGGTATACTTTGTCAATTATTTAAACTGATGTAAATCTTTTTAATCCAATAACTTTTCAGTTTTCATATTAACCCATTTATGCCGAAGGTTAAAAAATTGGAATTTTTGCATGAAATTTCTATATGTTAGATAAAAAAATATAATAAACAATGATTTGAAGAAGAATTTTTTTTTATTTTAATTAGTTTACAAGTTATAAACAATTATTTAATTAGTTTACAAGTGTTCCAAAAATGGAACACTAAGCAAAACCATTGCTATAATGTTACAATGTATAAAATCGTGGGTTTCCTCTAAAAATGTGGTTATTCCCATTACTCGGTATGGTAATTGGAAGAACACTTAACGTGTAAAACTACATTACATTTTCCACATGGAAAAGTGGTGTTTTTATGACAGTGAGCACAGCGAGTTTGCTTTCCTTGCTTTACGATCCCATGATTTATGTCATCATAGCGTGAATCAATGTTTCGCTTCTGAGAGGGTTTTCCTTTTCTGCCAGGTTCTTCAGGATGACCACGAGTCTCAAGATAATGGCATGCTACACGACGACGGAATTCTAAAAGATCCATTGGTTTTGCATCATAAGTTTTGTGTAATTGCCAAGCATTTTGTAAGGCCAATTCGAAACAGAACAACTATGGACTTGAATACCATTTCTTTCCACAAACTGATGCTCTATATTTGTCATGTTTTCGTCTGCTCTATCCACACCTCCCATAAATTGGTTATATACTTTTATCATGTTTGGCTGCTGAACTTTGGATTTCTTTTTTTGTTTTTTTTTTTGTTCTTGTGAATAACGATTCACAAGACACAGTGGATTTACACCAACACCAGATGATGCAACAGTCACAACACTGTTGTCATGCCATCCTACAGACAATATTGCCTTTGCCATCAACTCGATAATCGAATGAGCCTCTTTTAATTTTCTTTAGGGCAAATTCCAATTGCAATGGTGGTTTATCAGTACGACCCTTTCTAACTGTGCCTGTTGCCTGATGAGCCATTGAACCAAGTTCATCAAGCAGGGCAATACTTGTGAAAAAATTATCAAAAACAAAATATTGCCCAGGGTGCTCCTCTGTTAGTGCATCCGTAAACCGTAAGACAACAGAAGCACCAACACCATACTCCTCATATTTGTTTGCCAGATTTTTACCTTGATAGGGTTCGAACCAACAGGAAACATTTCAATTGAGAGTTTGTCAAGCTTAGGTTTACACCCTTAGTTGAAGCATATAAATTTGAGTATGTTACAATGAGTTCCATGACATCGTCATTTAGGAAAAGTTCAAAATGTTCTGTAGGAGTTCTTACTTTGGTAACTGGTAACTGAGTAATTCTTCCTGATATGGGTTGGACATTTAGATCTGCTTTTTCCCATTTTCGTACAACTTTTTCGAGCTTTTTCTTCTTTGTTAGACGTGATTGTTGCAAAGTAGAAGAAGTCGATGGAACCCCATCTGCAGGAGAATCAAATTTAGGGAAATATGAGGGTTCATCTGGGTCAGAGTCAGCATCAAAAGAACCATCCCGAACAAGATAAGCAGGTGCGCGCAGCAAAGAACCAGGCAGATTATTTATTGTTCCCGCATCTTCCTCACCGGAGTCCTCATCAGAAAGAGACGCTGTAGCATTTTCAGGTGGTTCTATGATTATGGCACTTGCTTCTATGTTGTCACACGTCTCTAAAAGATCAGTTAACTCATGTAAGGCTATTTCGGACATCTTGTGTCTTGGAAAATTATTTCAACTAAAAAAATATGAAGAGAAAATATATGCGTTCTTGTGGTAGTGGTTTTGCCTAGTGTTCCAAAAATGGAACACTGGAAATTTCAAGCCTATAACTAATTCAAAACTAATAGCTTTTCTATTTTCTTTTTGCAGTAATAAAGAGTAACTTATTGAATAATAATGCAATTGTTTTTTTTTTAAATTTTTAAAGTATAATGCAACAGAGTTATAGTTATCTGTTTATAGATGAATCTACAAAAACCTTGACAAAAATGAAGACCAAAATTTCACAACATCACAGCAGCCAAATATATGCAGGAGTGACAAACTCTGCGTTCTAAGCAAAGCCATATGCCCTTACAAACTGGCTGACATCACAAATCAAACCATGTGTGCGACCTTGAACACGTGGGCTAAAAATAACTTTTATGTGAGGCATGTTATAAAAATGGAACAGTAGGCATAAATGGGTTAAAATATTTAAATTTAAGAATCAGGCAATTTCATTAAGGTAAAATGGTAGCTCAGTATACATCATTAATCTGTGCTAGATCTTTGGCCTTACACCAAGTTGGATGTATACCAAATGAAATTTTCCAAACAAAATAAAGGGAAAATAATTAATCCATTTAAAATAAAAAATTCTTCTGTTATTATTTTAACACTTTTGAGTTCAGTGCAACTTTTACGTATAAGCTACACAAGCTATAGCTTAAGGCCCCTGCTTTCTTGGGGGCCTCTCAAAAAACCCTCTAGGCATGAGAAAATCATATTTGGCACTGACATATAATATCTAGACCTGTAAAGGGCCCCATATCTCAAATAGTTTAGAGCCTTATACTTAAGTCTAAATCCAACCCTGGTTGAGTGTTAAAATAATAACAGAAGAATTTAAAAATAATAACATAACATGAACAATGAATAACATACTGTACTGTTATAATAACCGTACGAAAACAGAACAACAATAACAAAATATGTTCAAATAATTCCTAAAATGAATAAAAAAGTATGAGAGAATAAATAAAGCAACCCCACATTATAAGTAAAAGTAGGCAGGACACTAGAATGTCACTATTGATCATACAAGCATAGTCCCACCACACCAAATGTGCAGTTCCACCTCAATTTTGATGAACAATGGTTCAAGGGTCTCCAACCCATCTGACCTTAGCACCTAACAACTTGAAAGGATTTCAGCTTACCAGTATTTTGAATACTCCTATCCCATGCTGCACAGATCGCAAACATCCATGCCTTCTCCAAGATTCAAAACTGGGCCCAATGATATGGCAGCCAGTGTCACTAACCACAATATTAATCAAGAAGGCAGTGATTCATAAGCAAGAATATCGAAGACAATTGATAGAAACGGTGCCATATATGGCTGAATGCAAAATTGTTATCTGAGGTTGCCATACATTTATTATCACACTTTTATGCAAAACTTGTCATAGCATTTTCTTGAAAGATATAAATAACTGCAATGTGTGTAGTCAAGACTCAAAGAAATTAAGCTGCATTCCAAACAAATGTATCCACCAAAATAATTTTTGCTTTCAAACAGGATGTGTACTAGGTCGGATTATTTTCAAAGTGAACACGCACAGAACTACCAGTGTCTTTAATGATATGTTTTTGTTTAAGCAGAAAACTTGACTTTGATTTTATATATCTGAACATTTATTAATAAATGAACAACATCATAAGTTACTAGGCTTTATCCAAAATAGTTAAAAAAAGTTAAAAAGAGAGAAAGAAGGAAGAAGATGCACCTGCATTAGGCTTTATGCAAAATAGTAAAATAAATTTAAAGATTGAGAAAGAAGGAAGAAGAACTACCTGCAAGACCAGAACAAGAGCCAGAGCTGAAAATGCTGGATTCACATTATCTCTAAAAAATATAACAAATACGGAAGTTATTAAAGCTATAAGAAGGCACAGAAAGTCCATTCGAATTCCAAGCCATCGCATAGAACAATAATACAAGTAAAAGGGTGAAGTGTGCTGGTCCACCAACTGTGTAAATCTAGCAAAAAAAAAAAAAAAAAAAAAAAAAAAAAAGCAAATATTAGGTAAATAAACACACAAATTTATAATATAGCAAACAATATCTAATTTAAACATGATTTTAATGTAATTCAATGGTTAATTCCTTATTTAAAGTTAAGTTCTATTTTAAAATATATTTTTTATAGCCAGCTTCACCAGATATTATAATTTTCTTAGAATTTTACATCATAAGAACACTAGTAGAAGAATAAAGCTTTTATTTATCAAAAAATATGATGAACATAAAATTAATAATTAATGTGCATATAAATGCATGCATAAAAGTAATATAATCACTTACAGATTTTAAACAAAAGTAAATCCAGATATTTACCTATCAAATATTATTACAGTTGAATCCTGCTATAAAAAACCAAGCTCTAATGAGTCACCAACTATTCTGAATATGAATTAACTTTTTTGCCCGTCCAATTTCCTACACAATTAATGTTATTTTATGCTGTTATAGCAAACCTACAAAGACATGAAAATCAAATATGATGAACTTAGATGATTATTTTTGATTGAAAATTTTTTTGTAAATCAGGCTGGCAGGAGTACTGTTGGAAATCTGAAGTCTTTCGCCTAAATCAGAAGAGTTGACAACTCAGCTATAGTGTAAAACTATTAACGCATAGAAAAGAAATGGATAATAATAGCTGTAATTAATTTTTTATAATTATCCACTTTGTTCGGTAAATGAGAATGGCTTTTGATTTATCTACTTCTTTTGGTTAAATGTGACAATGGCTTTTAATTGTTACTTCTTTTGGTAAATACGAAAATGATTTTAATTTATTCACTTTTTTGGTAGATGATTTACTTTTCACGTCTTTTTTTTTTTTTTTTTTTTTAATTTTTTTGGTAGTATAGTAATATTAATTTTTTTGTGGGGGGAGAAGAATTCATCATTCGGTTTTTACACATTTTTTGTGAAATAGTCCATTTTTCTTATCACATCGGATATAGCAAACCAATCTTTTGCTCCTTTGACTACACCAAAATTGAATACAAATATATGCATAGTAAACATCAGTAAAATATTCAAAATACTTTACAAATCTCTATAATAAATTACAAAATTTCAAAATAAAAGTTTATTGAAAAAACTACATTGAAAACCATTTATGAAAAAGTGAGTTTGCACAACATGAGTTTCATTTAGAGATGATAATACCAGTGTCCCAGCTTTTTTTTTTTTTTTTTAACATTTTTTGGACAAATTTTCACAGCACTTCTTTTTTTTCGAAACTCAGCATCAACAAATATTCTAGAACAACATCTGAATACATAAAATCTAAATCTGAGAATATTAAAAACCTTGAAATTTACAGATCTACCAGGATGCTGGAAGATATGATGAAAAATTAGGAATCTCCTGGTTTTACCAAGAAGATTGGCAGCTTTGATTATGTCATTTTTGTTGACAAAAAGAAGGTTTGACAAAGTACAACAAAAAAAAGCATGATTATTTTATTTAATACATTTCCTAGTGCTGATATAAGAATGGCAAAAATAAGTAAAAACAAAATCGATATTAAACACGCATTTAAAAAAAAATTTTTGGTTGCATGTTCGTATATAAAACAGATATTGCAGCACAAAAATAAAAAATTTTATCATTTTGTAAAATGTATCATGTTTAAACCTGAATTAAGAACCATCTTAATAAATTTTTCCTCTCTCTCAACAAATCAAAAGTTAAATGTACACTAAAAATTATCTTATACTATTCCATGGATTTGATTCCATGATTTCTACTTTCAGAGTTACAACTACAAGATGTCATGCCATTCTAAAAGTTACACAACCAAGATAAATTATTATTTTGCCTACTAAAGTTCTCCAAATTTAAATCCTATATCAGCAGCATTACACTGTAGAGTCATTACGATTTTTTTGAAGCAGAAGTAATGAAAAAATAGCAATGCCCTTGCCGGGCTCGAACCTCAGAGCTCTTGAATACATGACGAGCATGCTGACCACTACACCATGAGAGCATGCTAAGAAGGTGGGAGAAATAGCTTTGCCAAATCCTGGTGGTAAAGAATCGTCATCCACCACTTTTTTTTTAGTTCGGGTGCCACAGTAGAGACATTAGGTTTTTTCAAAGCAGGAGACATGAAAAATGAGGAATGCCCTTGGCGGGAATTGAACCACGGATCTCTCAAATATGCACTGAGTGTGCTGACTGCTACGCCAAGAAGGATTTGCTAAGAAGGCAGGAGAAATACCTTACAATATCAGTTCTTAAATTCTCATGTTAGCCTTCTGCCGTCAATAACAGAATTCAATGACTTCTTCTGTGGGTCTGTTTCAGATGTCAAACTATTTTGCAGTATAACTTAGCAGTTTTGTACAACATTCCATAAAATGTCAGCAAGCATCTTTTGTTACCTCCAACCCGAAATATTTATAATACTCTAATTAAATTTCATTTGTAATTTTTATTTTGCATTTTTCTAATAATATTCATTGAGTATTTATTCATTGCCCTTTTCAACCCTCATTTAAGAAAGATCATTGAATATCCATAACTTTTTGTAATCAATTTATTAATATTACTAATAAAATTTATCTTCATAAAATAAGATTTAAAAATATATTACCATTAATTAAAATCACATTGAACTAAGAATATATTTAACAAACCTATCAAAAAAGTCATCTCGCTTCTGAAAAGCTCTAATGGTAGATAAACCTTGCACAGTTGCCCTAACATGGCTGAAGATTGGTGATCTTGATATGTTTTCAAACCTTTTTAAGTCACGCATGGTAACTTTAAACATCTTTTGTAGAAAAAAGAATAACACACCCAGTAATAACAGAGGAATCACAAACCAGTAGTAAACAACCATGACTATCAGCAGAGCAAATAGTAATGCAGAAATCTTTTGGAGCAACGATACCATTATTATTGGCATATTTGTGTCAACTAAAGAAAAATAAAAAAATAATTATAATTTATACCTAAGAATTAATCATTATTTATACTTAAGAAAAAAAAAATCCAAGACATCAATAAAATTTCATAATAATTGCATGAAAATCATGTAAAATATATAACGAAAAAGGAAAAAATAAATAAATTTTATATAATCAAAAGACGAAAACAATTATAATGCTTAAATTAAAATATGATTTAAATATTTGAGGGTTTTTGAAAAAAAGTAAATTTTTTGTTTGAAGTTATATAGCAAATTTTCAAAAATATGTTTCCCCACAGTTCTGTAATTGACATAGATGGAGAGAAGCATAAATATTTGACAACTTCTTATACAATATGATCTCTTACATTCTTATTGTCATTCATTCATTATTTTTTAAACTAATTTAAAATTCTCCATTAAATATCATTAATCAATAATGAATCAATAATTAAAAATAAAACTTGCATTCCTCTCATGGTTAAATAAACCAATTAAGAAAAGCTAACTACTATGGAGAAAACTTAATATATTTTTGCATGATGCAATCATGTAAAATGTAATCATACATACAGATTACAAAGATAATTTTTTAAGAATAATTTTGAATTTTATAGTTCTTATAACTACTTGGTACCTTTAAAGACTGCAAATATGTCTATAAATACACAAAATGTCTTGAAAAGACTAATTATATCCTGTTTTGAATGAAACAGTTGAAACTTTATTCTACAGAATAATCCTAAAAACCTTTTAAATATCAGTTAATGTAAAAAGCAAAAGTACACCTACGGGCTCAAATTCTGTCTGGTTGTTTAACCAATTAAAAAGGAGCCTAAAATGCTATTTTTCTCAATACTGATGCCTCTGAAGATGAATTTTTTGGGACATTTGTTCACATTTACATTTCACATATCTTCCATCAAGTATATATTTTAAACTAGCAGCTTTGCTGCCAGCCTTCGTCTGGCTTCGTCTGGAACCAGAAAAATGGCTGAAGGGAACACCAAACGTTAAATTTAAATACTGCGTAGCATTTTACTCTGCAGAACAACTTCATAAAAAAAAAGGTTATTATGTTTAACAAAATTACAATAAGCAATATCCCTTAATACAAATATTAATTATCCTAATAATAAATTAACCAACTTCCCTTTGCAAAATCTTAAGAACTCAAATGGTATAAAGGAGGTTAAGAACTTTGTTTCCTAGAAAAATCACTCATAACTTTTCAATATCTTAAAAACAGTGAAATGAGCAATAAATAACATAAAAGAATACAAAAAACAAAAAATTCTGAAAGCAAAGTATAATTAATGATATTTTATCTTTTTTTCAAAATAATGATATCCCTAATACCAAATATTAATTATCCTAATAAAAAAATTAACGAACTTTCCGTTGAAGAAAAAAAATCATGCAAAACTTTCAATATCTTACAAACAGTAAAATAAGCAAAAATAACATGAAAGCACTCAAAAACATAAAATTCGCTCAGAATTTTACTCTGCAGAACAACTTTATCAAAAAAAAAAATATATAATATACAGTCAAAAGTCGTTAATCCGGACTCGTCGGGACTTCGGCGATTCCGGATTATCGATTTTTCCGGATTATAGATCATCAGTTTAAATCTCGTAAGATGGCATGCAGAAATTCTAAAATTAAAAATATGAAACCGTAATTTATGAAATAAAGAACAATTATGATCTAAAGGGTATCAAAATTTACAAAAAAGAAAAAGCTTAATATTTATTTGTTTACTTTATTAAACATTTCTTTCAATGTAAGTTGTTTAAGTTTTGCTTCGTTTCATGTGATAATACTTTCTCTTTAATTCTATTAAACAGACATATTTCTTGTTCAGTTACAAAGTTCCGCTGTTCAAGTCCTATAATTGCTGTGTCAAGAACACGACTAATTTGTCAATCGAAATTTTTTTGTTTTCAATAACCTCTGTCACTTTTCTTCGCTATCGGAAGCGAATTATAATGACGAGGAACTTGATTTAAATCATATCAAAGACGGAGTACATCGAAATGAAATACTACACTTAGTAGGAATTATAAACCAAATAAAATAAAATCATCTGCCCTGAAGATAAGGATAGTGCTGACAGATCAACTTCCAATCAGCGGTGTGAAATTGATAAACAGATTTCGGATTTCAAAACATACTTTCGCTTTAGATCCTTTACATATTAACAAATATATATCGGAAATTCTATTTGATATAATCGAAAGTTTAAGCTTACTTTTATAAAATTGCTCTTACAGTCTGCAAAAATAATAAGCCGGATTGCAATTCGAAAATTAAGGAACAACGCAATCATCAACATTAACTGAAATAGATAATTAGATAATTTTAGCTTATACGTCCATTATACATAAAATGCGCACGCGAAAACGTATTCTGCACTTGCGCACACTCATATGCGCACGCGTGAACGCCTCTGCGCATGTGTCAATGTGGCGCATGCGCAGAAAGTTTTTAGTTTTGATGTCCGGATTATAGATCATTCCGAATTATGGATGTCCGAATTAACGACTTTTGACTGTATATAGTAAATGACAATGAAATATGCCAATCTCTTAAAAAAAACAGTGACATTAAAAATTCGATGAAAAATTGTTGCCAAACCCATATCTCAAAAAGAATGAAACTATTCAAAATGATGGGATTTCATCAAAAATCTATCAACAACAATAAGACAGGAAAATTGTTGCCAAAATCATATTTTTAAAGATGTGAGTTGTGAGAAGTGTACTCGGAAGTTCATTTAAAAACTTTTTTAAAAATGAAAATATTATAATTTTTCCAAAATTCTTTTTGTAAAAGCAGTCGCTAGGATGAAAGTTCAATGTGTCCAAAAATCAAAGAAAAATAAACTGTACATTTTTAAAAATAAACTCTTTTAGAAAAAATCCCGCTGAAAAGGTGTTAAGCTCACTTTGTTAAATAAATTCATATTTAATCGATTTATTGAAACACAAAATTTATTTTAAGTTCATAAAATAGCTAAGTGCCTACGTTTCATGACGATGTGAAAATGGAGTGTGTAGAGTAAAATCTCGCTTTCCTATAGCCCATTATGTCTCAAAATGACGCGATTTCGTCACAAAAACATAAAATAAAAAAAAATTCTAATTCGAATTTCGAAAAATCGCTTCGAGGTGCACTGGCTCTTGTCTAGATGCACCTATGTACCAAATTTCATAGCCATGGGTCTATTAGCTTATGCGCAGCACAAACAAAAGACAGACATACACACATACACACAGACAGACTCTTTCTTTTATTATATGTAGAGATAATGAGGATCGGAAGTTGTATGCTTGAAGCAAATAAAACAACCATAAATATCTAGATGTCATCTTTCAATTTCTAGACAAAGAAATGCATGAAAATGTATCATTCAGTCACTTAACCTTTAATATTCTCGTTTCCACTGCTATTTTAAATTTAGTTTAATTTATTAAAATTTTGAAAAATGTGTTTTGAATTAAAGCAACACTACAAATGTTATTTAAAAAAAAATTATATTTTTTACACAAATAACATTTATTTTCAGGAAACTCTTCAACAGTTTTAACAGAAAAAAATTTACAAAAATATATAGTCAAAAGTCTTTAATCCGGACCTCAAAGCTACAAACTTTTTGCGCATGCTTAAACGCATAATGCGTCCACGCATGCGCATAATACGCTAATTTCAACTATGCGTAATGTATGCTTTACGCATGCGTGCGTTGAAAGAAATGTTTAATAAAGTAAAAAATAAATATTAAGCCTTTTTTTTTTGGTAAATTTTGATACCCTTTAGATCACAATTGCTCTTTATTTCATAAATTATGGTTTCATATTTTTAATTTTATAATTTCTGCATGCCATCTTACCAGATTTAAACTGATGATCTATAATCCGGAAAAACCGACAATCCGGAATCGCCAAAGTCCCGACGAGTCTGGATTAGAGACTTTTGACTGTACTTCTATCGTATTTAAGAAATCATATTTGCATGCATATTAAATAAACATACCATTTCTTTTAAAAAAGATCAAAAACAAAAATAAGAACACTCAACAGAGTTAATAAAATTATTATTATTTTTAGAGAAAGTAGAATATCCATAACAATTTACAGTGACTGACCCTAAAAGCAATAAATAATAGTGAACACAAAACTGAGAAAAAAGGATATAATCAAATGCTTTCAGCAAGTGCTTATAAATTATTTTTCTTTCCAAAACAAGATGCCCAGTTTTAAAATAATTTTTACAATCAGCTAACATCAGCCACTAACTGTCTTGTCCTAATATTTCCCTTTAATCTTTTCTTAAACAAATCCAGTGTAAAAGATACCAGAACAGGTGAATACAATCCCAAGTATTTTCCTTTTTATGAAAAACAACTTTTCGAATTCAGTCTGCAGTCATAAATATTTTCAATGATCTTTTAAAGCTTCAGAAAATGTACTTTTTTTTTAAGGTATTCAACAAACCCACTAAATATGTCGGATATTTTATGAGAATTCACTTCAGTTTACAGTTTTTACAATCCTCTATACTAGTTACAAAATGATTACTACAGTATCATTTCTTACACTTAAAGAAAGGATGAAATCAAGATTACAAAAGATATAACTATCAAGTTTTATACTTATCCAAAAGCGCATCGTGCTAAAATAAATAGCAGTGGAAACGAGAATATTAGGAAAAATGAAGTGACTGAATGATACATTTTCATGCATTTCTTTGCCTAGAAATTGACAGATGACATCTAGATATTTATGGTTGTTTTATTCACTTCAAGCATACAAATTTTGATCCTCATTATTTATCACTTTGTGACAGTCTCTTTTCAACTGTACAAAGCTGAAAAACAAATAAAAGCAATCAGTGCAGTGTACTAACAGCATGTTAGAAGAAAGTCCTGGAATTCGATGAAAAAAAATTCTGCATTTCTGTATTCAGTTTTGACCTCATCTCTTTTAAAACCATGTTGTTGTAA